CATTACAGAAATCTGGGATGCATTGCCTGAGACTGTGCAGGACTGTCAAAATGGCACACATTTTCCCTGAACAATGGCCAAATTCAGTGTTTGGGCTTCACTTAAATTTGCAACATTATTGCTATGTCATGGAATGCTACATTATAATCCAAGCAAGAAAAGTTTATCATTTTACTAATGATTTTTTTTTAACTAACTGAAACAAAGTTGTAGGAAAGTATTCAGAGGAAAATCTTAGTAACTCTGTTACCTTCCAATTCTTGGAGCTTCAGAGGTTTTAAACAAGATAAGTCAATTGTATCTAAGTTGATACTTTAAAAATCATACTAGTATAAATAACAATTTACAAGTGGAGTAGTTCTAAAAGATAGCAAGTTAATCTTTTAGATGTTTTTTCCCCATCTTGGCAATTTTTTATGTCTTCTGAGTATATGGCACAATTTGTAATTTACTCATTTGTCTTTCTTTTTGCCTGCATTCCCTCAGAAATATTTTTTTAGAGGTCAAAAACCATTTTGATGTTCTATACTGTAGTAATGACTGCACTGAGTACATGCTAAAACTACATTTATTGAATGTTAATGTTGTTCAGGAAAGAACATTTGATGAACACTTACTGTTTACCAAGTAATGATGGCACTAAATATTTTGAATGTCACTGTCATGCTATGTATGAATGATCAAAACCATGTATGAATGATTCTTTTCTGATTTGATTCTCTTTTTTTAAACATCCTCCAAAAAGGATGTAAATATAGCAGCATTCCAGTGTTTTCCCTGCTTGCCCCTCCCCCCCATCACCAGCAAAATCTCTGATCAACCTCTACTACCACTGCTTGTTCTCCTTCATCAGCATCAAGGAAGAAAAGAAATGACGAACAACAGGGCTACCAGCACAGAAACTGGCAGGAGGATCATCTGGCTTTATTTTTTCTTTTTCCTAAGTCACCTGTAGATAGTTTTCTGGTTTAATACCCAGTACATTTCTTTATATTTGCTCACTCACTACTTCCAAATACCACTCTGATGATATTTTATAACCAAATTGCTTGAACGTGTCCTTTACCTTTAAAGAAAGACTATCTAATTACAGAATGTATAAATAGGGTCTCCTCTCAGGGGATCATTTTGAGATGATTTTTAATTTATAGATAAGTTGCAAAATTAATATTTAGAGTTCTTATATACACTTCACAAAGCTTCTCCTAAATGTTATCTCCTTCCTACATAGTCATGGATCTGGCACTATTTTTGACCCTACTATACTGCCCCTGTGTTCATTAATGATGTTGCATTTTGTTCTGTTTGCCTCTTCAGGTTCACACTTCAGCTCCTACATCCTCTTACATGCCCCAGGAGGCTGACCAGGATGTTGTTCATTTGTGAGCCCCTTTTCCTTCTGATAGGGATCAACCAATGAAAGACGCAGGGCACTGGAAAGCAGGGCATTTATTTAGAGAGGGACTATCTACTTCCTTCTTACAAAACATCCTATTACCAAAAGATAGAATTGAAGTCCCAGCTCCCTGTTTAACTACAACTAATCTACTCTTCCTTGCCCTTCTAGCCCTAAGGAGAGACAATAACTCTCACCAGCCCTAATTTTTTCCTTAACCCTGCCAACCCTTTTAAATAATCTTTTAATTAAAATGTCCCCAATACTCTCAAATACCCCTAAACTGATTTCCTCTGGGGCAATGATTGACACCCTAGCCAAAGTAATGTTCCTCTAAAATTAGCTATCTAAGTATACATTCTTCTATCCCAACACACAAAGTAGAGATTATTTGTGTAAATGTTCCTACCATGAGGAATTCCAAACCATGTTACTCAAAAGTCAAAATTCACGACAAGGCCTGAAGATTTCAGGGGACCATTCCTTACCCAAGAAATCAAGGAAACAGCTATTGCAAGGTGAATAAACTTCTATCTCTTATGAAAATAGCTAATGATCATCAGAGGAGCCTGTGCAGAGACCTGGTCTTTAGCACCAGTGGTGGGAGCTGGTGCTGAGCCACCCTACTCTTAATCCCCATTCTAGTCATTTAAGTGCTTTGTACAGAAAATGTGATTCTAGCTAGAAAATGTTACCTTAGAGACTTAAGAAATCTATTTATCATTTAAGGTTTTTCCTTTTTTTTTTTTTAAGATTTATTTACTTATGCATTCAAGAACTGGGGTGGAAGCCAGAGGTGGAGGGGGTAGGGGAGCAGGTGAGAGGATTCACCAGAGACAGAGTGGGGAGTAGAATAGGCCGACTGATGAAGCACACTGCTGAGGGGAAGCAGCTGGGAGACAGGAAAGGTCTGCTGCACCATGTAGGTCCCTGCCTAGCTGGGGATTGAATGATGGTGCAGTGGCTGTGAAAAGTTCATAGTGCTCTGCTTTAACCCCTGGCATCATCAGAGAAGCCCTCATTTAAGGTTTTGAATTCATAAAGAATGAATATTGGTTTCAACATTATCAATAGATTGTTTAAAGATGAGAGGTATCAGGCATACCAGGAAATTGCAGCCCCACAGGGAATTCAGTATTAGTTGGCAGGGTTAGCATAAGAGTGGGACAGGTTTTAATTCTACATCCAATTTCCTTAAATAACCTTAGTATCTATCCAACTACTTTCTTTGATGATGATGAAAATTCAAGTACTGAGCATCCACCCTGACAAAGAGCAGGATGACCCACGAAATTAGAAAACCTAAGAAACCAGAGTTGAAAGGAATTTAACCACATCTCTGGCAGAAAGTCAAAAGCAAAGATGGAGAATTAAGAAAGGAGATCAAGTTGTAAACTATGGACCCCATCACTGACCCCTGTACACCAGCTGAAGTGTTAAGTTCTCCATAAGAAAACCTTAAACCCATAGTGTACTTCTCCCACCTTCTTTCCCAAGGGGTGGATTAGCTACTTTAAAGTCTCCTTTAGGGCTATATAATACTCCACATTTTGTTTTTTTGTGTTTTTTTTTTGGCTTTTTTGCTGTGTTTTATGTATGTCAAGCTAAAATCTAATAATACTTTAAAACTAATACAATGGAACAGAGAAACAAAGCTTGCTTTGGAGAAGAACAAAAACAAAACAAAACAAAAAGTACTACACCTAACAGCAAAAGTAAAGAAAATGTTTTAAAATGCCAACATTAAGGAAAATTTTTTTTCCTTCTAAAGCATTTCCTTATTCTCATACAACAATCTGATAGATTTTTGTCCTACTTGCTGAGGCACATGAAAGTGCACACACACACACACACACACACACAGAGTTTTTCCAAAAGAAAAAAATTGATCTACTTCCATGATTCAAAAAAGCACCACACCACATATTTACTTCTGAAATTTATTTCAGGTGATAGGAAAACCTCAGACTAACAAAATAAACACAGAATCACACAGTACTCCCCAAACCTCAATTCTACTTCCTAGCAAAAGTGGATGATTTAATTACCAAGCTTAATCTACATCAGTTTGTCTAAATAGTCTATCCCTCTCTTCCATGTGAAAGGGATGGAGGGGGTGATCCCACATCTCCTGCAGATTTGGGAGTCATTTATAACAGCAGGACTAAAATTATTTCTCACTTGAAGATGTTATTACAAAATGTCTGAGCTGCATACTTTGAACACCGAAAATATGAATAGTGTAAAGGGAAACTAGTAAATATGAACAGTGTTTTTAATGATAATACTATTATGGGAGAGGGGAGTAAAAGGTGTGGGTGAATCAGTGTACAAAAGAAAACAGAAAAAGGTTTAATTTACCTTGAAAATAACCAGTATTCTATTTGTCGAGGCTCAGTGAGAATTTGTGCCAAGCAATTTCATTCATTTCACAGTGTCTAGCATACTGATGACCATGTTGTAAATATTAAATAAATACTTGTTGGGTGGTGAAAAATGTACATGGCAACATTGTGTATACACAGGAAACAGAAACTTGAGGTGGTTAGACAAATTAGAAAAATTGCAAAGTTTGGCTCTCCATGTCAGTAATATTTTTTAGCTTGACAACTGGAGAAACAAATGAAATTTAAAATTCCCACATCCATAGTTCAACATGTTCTTCCTCTTTGAGTGCTAAAACTTTATTTACAAAAGAAAAGCTATGATTACATTAAAATACTTTAAATATAAAAAACAGAATTTTAAAGGCCAGTATTTTTATTGCTTATATGTATTCCCAAGTATAAAATGTAACTTGTTTAGGTTGCTTACATTTGTCATAGCAACCTATAACTAGAAACCTTTAGCACATAAACACCTATTTGGTGGACTAAAGCTAGCCTTGAACTTTTAGTTATCCCAAATGCTTTTAAATTAACCCTTCTAAATATTATACAAAGCTCATAACACAGATTGCTTGTTTATAACCAAACTGGGGGCTACTACATACTCATTAAGCAAACTATAGAAAAATAAAGGAAACATGCATATTCCTACAGTTATAGGAATGTCAAAATTAAAGATGATAGATGTGAATTTGAGATTAAACAATTATGATTTGTCTGTGAAATCTCAATGATTTAAACATTTTAGTTGAGTTAAACCTCTAAAGACCTATCCCTTTGGAAAGAAAAATCACACATTTGAAAATACTATCTAATGGAAGGTCTATTAAAATCACAATGGATCATAGCTGTCAACTTCAAATAGTGCCTTTTTCCTTAAGAGCTTAAGTTTACACACTGGTGCAACACCATAAATGCAGATGCCACAAAGGGAACTACAAAGAAAAACAAATTTTATTCACAATACTTTGCATATAAACTTTTCCTTCTGCAGACTTGTGTGGAGTTGAAAATAAAGGATGCTAATATGGATATTATGCAGCACATCAAAAAAAAAAAAGAGAGAGAGAAAACACTTAAGTTGAGTAAAAATTCATTTATCACTAAAAATTCAGGAGAACCCACATCCACTGTATTCCAAATTTACCTCTAAGTGACAGAAAAATATTATATGAAATGGAAAAAAATTAAATATTATTTAATCAATAGCTGATTACCTTTAAAACTTTGGGCTTCTTTTCCCTCTGGGGCCTCTTGTTTTCTTTTATAACCTAAAAAAAAAAAATCAAATTGCAAAATGAGCCTTCGTTTAAGGAAAAAAAGAAGCTCTTAGCTCCCCCCCCCCCAAATTTTGGCTATTTCTCTGTAAAACTACTTATGCCATTTAAAATTATCAACATGTTTGCTAGGCAGAACCTAAAGAGCTTATGTAAAATGTATACTTTAAAAATCACGGAAAAAAAGCCTTGCAAAGAGATGAAGTAGGGAAATACCCTTTTTTCCCCTTAAAGTCTGTCTTAATTAGCCTCTGCATTCTTCACAGCGAAACCCACGAGGTAGCCATCTTGCTTGCTTCTGCAGAGGAAGCCTCTACAGTGGAACAGTTCTGCAAACTGCTTTTTGGTATTATTATCATGGTGTTTAAAGGCAGCCCTGGCCTGCCAGCACTGTAGACGTGCTGGGCATGCCTTTTGCAAAAACAGCCCCACAAAGAGTGCAGCCAATGGCAATGCAGAGCTTAGCAACTCCAAAGTGATCTTCTCTGCCTAGCCTTCCCAGACAAAGGATCTCCTGTGCGGCTCCGCTCTCACCACAGGACACAGGCAGCCACAAGCTGCGACATGGAGTTCGCTGTAGAGGATCTGGTCGCGCCGAAATCACAGGAGGCTTCAGCAAAAACAATGCACACAAATCCCCCAGGTCTCTCCACCATCGGATCGATGGCGGTGTCTCCCTGATTAGTAACCTCTTGGCTGTTCCGAGGGCAGGTCTGCGCGGGGGGGAGGGGTGCACGGCCCTGCCTCCAACGTACAGGAGATATAACTGAGCCGAGGGGGGCATTTGGGCTTGCTGAAACTCTGGAAGGTATTGTGCATTTTTACTTTATAAGGCAAGGCTAAATATTGGCGATATTTAAGGCAGGGAGGTTATGTGAGGACAGTGTAGGCTCAGCTGTTGGGCTGCGTGTCTCATTCCTGGGAACCACACCTCTTTGCAGCAGGCAGTTTGCCCAGAAACACAGCAGTTTGATTTCTGTCAATAAATGTCCAATGACAAAGGCAGATTAAAAAAAATATAATAAAGCCACTTACAAGGAAAAGGACAGGAAGAGGACAATGGGGGGGGGCGGTGGGGAGAGTCAAAATACACTCAGCACTCCAAACAGCTGAAAAGATTTCTCTCTTTTGCTCTGGACATTTCTGATGACCTTTATTTCCCAAAGAAATCCCTTCTCTCCAGAAGGCAGACTCATTCATTCTTACCTTTGGGACAAAAGGTACACCTTTGGTTTCTGTCTCCCAAGATCATCAGCTGCCACTGAGCATCACTTAGTGAGCTTCCAATCAGGTGCCAAAGCAGAGCCTGTCACCTAGTACCCAGGGACTAGGACTTGAGCCAGGGGTGGAACAAGCAGCCACCCACACTCACAAACCTGTACTGCCCCTATTCCCGGTGTGTGTACTTTGGGAGAGCTAGACACCACCACTGTAATTTGCCAGATCCTGAGAAAGCCAGAGCCTGGAAAGTTCCCTCCCTTTAACCCCCTGGCGATGCAACAGCCGCTGCAGCAATGAGGACTATGGCAGCTGTTCCAAGCTGGCAGGTCTCAAGGTCACAGACAAAATGCAGCGCACAGGCCAGCCACAGCCCCAAGAGCAGCCACCTTGACAGCTGCACAGATCTTGAGAAGATAGCCCCAGCTCCATCCTCACAGGGCCAACCATCGGCAGCACATTAGGGGGATTGGCAGCAGAGTCTTCCTGACTACTCAGCCAAAAGTGGGTTTTCCACTTGCAGTTGGATTCAGAACAGATTCCCACAACCAGAAATCAAGAACAGAATGAGAACTGAAAAGCCTGGATTTCATCACCCTTGATTCTGAGACTTTGGGTTTGCCGCAAAATCATGCTCTCCTTGTTGGAATGGGAGATCCAACACTCATTGTTTTCTCACTTAAACTCTCCCCTTCACTCACCCACCCTCAAAATGTTTAACAAATGGAGGAAGCAAGAAGTCTTATGGCAAAACCAATGGATTCAGCGCTAACCACTTCCACCGCCAACATCTCAAGCACACTGAGCCCACTAGGACATTTTCTGTGGGGAATTCAACAACGGTTAAAAAAGAAAAAGGTAAAAAAAAAATTGACCAAAGACAAAATTTAAAAACGGGTGTAAGACCTCTTAACTCAACATTTTTTTTTCTTTGTAGAATTTTCTTATTGTGGTAGATTCCAGAACCTTTCTTCATCCCAAACAGAATCGCTGAGCCCACAAAACAGTAACTTCCCATTTGAACTCATGAAGCCCTTACTTCTCTTTTCTCTCTGTGTGGATTTGCCTACTCTAAGTATCTCAAGTAAGGTATGGCATAGTATTTGTCCTTCTGTGTCAGGCTTTCTTCACTCAGCATAATATTTTCAACGTTTATCCACATGGTGGGATGTGTCAGAATTTCATTCACTTTTAAGGCTAAGTAATATTCCACTGCATGTATATACTATATTTATCTATCCATTCTTTTGTTGATGGACATTTTAGTTATTTTCACCTTTCAGCTACTGTGAGTAACACTGCAATGAACATGGGCATATAAGTACCTAGCTGAGTCCCTACACTTAATTCATTTCAGTTTTCAATTCATTCAATTAATTTTGAATTTTCAATTCATATACCCAGGAGTAGAACTGCTTGACTATTGTGTTTAATTTTCTGAGGACTCACCAATGCATTTTTTTTATAGCAGTTCCATCATTTTACAATCCCATCAGCAATGCACAAAGGGTAGTCCTACATTTCTTGAAATACCTTGCATTTCAATTTCAAACACCCACCCCCTCCACCCTATATGACTTTTAAAAACCACCAAAATTTTCCCAGGCTGATTACTCAATATTTAGTAAAGTGGCCAGGTATATTAGTATATAATTTTATATTTTAAATCATATTTATTGCTTATGTGATACATGTTTGCCTCAATAAGCTAAAGCTCAGGGTAAATCCACATGTGAGACATCTACCTTTTAAAACTGTGGACAAGTATTTTCATGGCATGTGATATTCACAAAGCCATACAACATTGCACTTGGCAACCTAAACAAACACTGAAGGAGGGTCTGTGTGCAGTGTTCTGTAAAATGAGTTAATAAATAAAGCCAAAGCTCATCTCAGCTAGATATGCGGGTTAATGAAAGAGACCAGAGCCAGCATTCACTCCAAATATCCAACTGATACTACACCACGAAGAAGAACCGTTCTTGTTTGAACATAAGATTGGTAACCTCTATTGGCTGAGATCATCTGTTATAAATCTTATACTCAGCAATTTCATGGGCTCACTTCAAGGCTTAGATAATGGTGAATTTTGATAGAGAAAACAATCAGAAACTACCAGGAGGGAAATAAAAAGTCAAGAGAGCCATTCAATTCCCTTAGGAATTCACTTAGGGCAAAGTGCATATAAGTAGATTCTGTTGAGTGAAAGATCAGAAACTAGGAGATCTTATAGTAATAGTCCTTCTTACTTACTCAGAACTTATTTTTGTCTCTTAAACCTATTATTTTTTTCCATTAAAAATCAATATTATTAAAGTGCAACAGTTGATGTTATGTGATAACTCATCCATTATAGGTTTTTTTCCCCATATATTACAAAATATCTCTTTTCTCTTTAAAATCATAAGATCATAGAACCTAAACAATGTGTTTAGGTCAAGCTACTTTATTTCATTGATAAACTGAGACCCTAAGAGGTAAAAAGACTAAACTCAGACTACACAGCAAGAGCTTGACTTACACCTATTTCTAACCTCTGTACTACTCTCTCTACAGCCCTTCAGTGTCAATATTCTACAAGAGACATCTGCAAATATCCCAAAATAACCTCAAAAGAAGCTTCTTCAAAATTAGAGTTTCTAGGATAATGGAGCAGCAGTTCAGATTGATATTTTAAGTCAACATCATATTAGCTGTGTCCCTTTTAAAAACATGGTTTGTACCTTCAGAGATAAATTGATGATTAATTTCACATTTTTACTTGTCTTTCTATGCATAAGCAATTCTACACCCACAAGAAAGTAGGCATGCAAACACAGATGAAGAGAAATCTTCCAAATTAATCTCAGGAGTAATTCATTGTTCCTCAAATTGACACCTCAGCTGCATGAAGCCTTGCCAATATTAGCCACGCTCTTCTCTTCCATGATATCCTTCTATTCTTCTCTTTTTATATACTGCTTTTGTAGTGATACCTGATATAGACCAAATAGTTTTATAAATTTCTAATCAATAAGAATGAGCAATGAATGGCTCTTATTTTTCACAATTCTAAAGAACATTTTTAAGTTAGGAAGACATCGGAACCTGCAGACCGTCTTTCCTGGCTGATTTGGTCTGGGTTTAGGTTAGCTGAATCCCGCCTACGTCTTTCCCTGGCTTCCCTCCCCCACTTCCTGCCTGGAGGTTTATCTTCATAGTCTTTTTTTTCCCCCTCCTCCAAGTCAGAATCCAACCCATTCCCCTCTCTCTGTCCTGCTTATTGTTGGAAGAAAATAACTGCTTTTTAATCGCAAGAATTAGGGGACACGTGAGTAGTGATTTTTCAACAGTTGCCAAGTGAGAAGAGGTTGCCAAGTGAGAATAAGTAGACAATGAGGTGAGCCATAGATAATTCAGAGACTAATGGGGCTGAAATATTATCTCTCCCCAATTTATCAAGAATTATAGGACTGGCAGTGTACTTCCATTTTGACCCCTGCTCCCTTGCAGAGTATATCTGCCCTTACAGTTTTCAAAAGAAAAAGGACGAAAAGCTATAGCACTTAAAATCCAAAGCCTGCTCTTCTATTAATATCTAGATCCCTAGGGTGGACACAGTAACAGGAGTTTTGGATTTTTGTCTAGTGCAAAGAAATCACAGAAGAAGACTGCCCATTTTAGGAATGATAAATTGGTTTGTTTCTTGTTTTGTTAATCTTGTAATCAAGTAACATTTTTTAAAGGAAGTTCTGTACCTGTGTGTACCTTCTCTTATTCATGTTAGGGTTGACGCC